CTTGGTCTGTGTTTGTGCACTGCCTTGTGCAGTGTTTGGCTCATCCCTCGCCCTATACTTTAGTGCACTGGGAATCAGATCTAGAGTCTGGTTTGGAATCAGGTCAGGTGTTGCCAGGATCATCATGGGTGGTGGGGTGATGTCACATAACAAGCAGGTGTTGGCCGCAGCACCAGGTGCATATGATTTGTTCCTCTCTTGTTAAGTCACCCCCCACGCCACCTTGCAGCCTGAGAGTGATCTGGCTGTGATGGATGGTACTTTGGTACACTTCTTGTACCTTTTTGGCTTTTCCACCATGTATTTTTGTCTTTTTTCTCTTTTAGTTTTACCTGGGGTAATCTGAGTTTATTTTCTCATAGTTTGTCTCATTCAACTAAAAGCAGTCTATCTTGCTCCTCCCTATTAAAGTGGTAAAGTGAAGGTCCTGGAGGGGCTCCCATGGGGAGTGGATTTAGAAGCCTCAGCTCAGGCCAGGCTACTGGATGGGAGTATCCTCAGTGGCCAAGGGTACTGACTCAGGAAATGACCCAGGGAACTCCAGGAACATGTTGCTACATTGAGAAAGACCCAGTAAGCCTATCACTGAAGTTCAGTAATGAGGAAGGAACTTAGCTGGACTGGGGAACTGGTCACCAGAGGCAGACGCTGACCCTGGACTCAGCAGCTCCCCAGCCCCTCCCTCAAAGGACCACAGCCTAGTTGGAGTCACAGTCCTGTCCCCATGAAGGCCTTAGTCACCACTGGCTACCCATTTATGGTTTCTACTGTGCGATGGAGAGTGAGAGTGCTAGACAGAGCTCTCGCCCCCAGGTGGTGTGGTGGTCATGGGATGGAGCAAAGAGCAGTGACCTGGGGCAAAACATATGCTCAGGGAAGAGCCAGCTGTGTCTTAGGTACTCCTGACCCTTCCACAAGCCCCATTAGTCTCCATTTCATAGATGTGGAAGCAGGAGCCCAGAGAGGTCATTTGCATGTGGTCTCACTGCTAGTGAATAGTAGTGACAGGATTTGAACCCTCGTATCCCTGTCAGCTGATGGGCACAGTGGTGACATTATAGGTGGTGACAGCAGTGTTTGAACTGAGATGGGGTCTTCTTAGGTCTCACTGCTAGTGAATAGTAGTGACAGGATTTGAACCCTGTGGTCTCACTGCTAGTGAATAGTAGTGACAGGATTTGAACCCTCGTATCCCTGTCAGCTGATGGGCACAGTGGTGACATTATAAGTGGTGACAGCAGTGTTTGAACTGAGATGGGGTCTTCTTAGGTCCCCAAAGTGTGGCAACCTTGCAGTTTTGCTAAGATGTCAGATGTGCCTGTGTACCCAGCATTAGCTGGGGACACATGGAGATGAGACCCTCGCCCTACATGAGGCCCAGGCCCAGAGAGCTTTACCAGAAGTCATGCTGGTCATCTCACTGAGCCATTTGCCAGTAGGGTTGTATCTCACAGTCTGTTCCCTTTAATCAGCATATGAGATTGCAGAAGCTACTTAAGTACTTTCTAGGAAAATTACAAAACTTAGCTGATGAGAAACAGCAACTTCCTGTTTTTCTATTACCTTGACTGCTTTGCTTCTTTTAAAATTACCCCAAATTGGCCATCTGAATTATCTTTGTTAGGAAATCTTTCAGTCATTGTTGTGGGAGTACGTTTGGGAAACGGGGACCTTCCTGTAGCAAAGGGTGTAGGCATGCAGGCTTGACCCAGGTGGTCCCTGGAGCAGGAGGAGTAGAGTGAATGCACGAGGCCCTTGCCTGCTTGCACTGGGAAGTCTTCCACTTAGCCTCTATTTTGAGGAAAATGCTGGGCTTTTACAGGCTTTCTATTCAACTTCTCCCCTCAGGCTTTCTCAGGAGATGGGAAAGGGTAAAAATGACCCTACCTGTGTTTATAATTCTCTGCCACAGCAAGTGAAGACTTTGAGCTCTTCTAGGTGGCACTCATATGCAAAAGGGTGTCTTAGCGATAGGAGGGGAGTGATGATGCACTTGATGCTCCTTTAATGATTAGCTTATACTAACAATTCCAGTTCTTCCCTCCAGAGGGTGGCTGGGTAAGAAAGCAGCCAGCTGACCCAGAAGTGGGCTCTCTCTAGGGCACTTGCTTTTCCTATGGGTCCCTGTGAGTTGCGGACTTTCAGATCCTCAGAGCAGGGCCGGGGCAAGTCAGGTGGTGAGAAGGGTCCATTCAGGCCCATCTCATAACTATGTCTGTGTTCACTGTCATGTGCATGGATACAAAAGACCTTTTATGGGGCTGAGATGCTGTCACTAATGCAAGAACATATCTACTGGAATCCTCCTTCACAGCTGAGACCTCTGTGTGCTCAGCTGATATTCAGGGCTAGTGGCTGTGTATTCTGCTGTCTGCAGAACTGAGAGCTGTACATCTGTTTTTAAAAACCACAGCATTTAGGGGAATACCCTTTGTCTTTAATTTCCACATTGATGTGGTAAGCTGTTTCCACATGTGCTTGTGCATTTTTCTAACAGCATCAGTTATGGTAGATATAAACATGTACATTTGCATGAAGCCAGTCTGGCCTTGCAGATATACTGAAAGGCCCAGAGGACAAGGGAGGCCTCATTTCTCCAGAAGGTTCCTGTTCAGAGTCTTGTCCCATTCATCCCTGGCCTGTTTGAATCATGCTCTGTGGCAGTGCAGCTAAGTAGCAGCCTAACCTGCCAAGATGGGCTCATTTTTCAGAGCACTTTTTGGCGTGTAGGGTAGGATATGAAGTCTCCTTTATTCTCTCATGATTTCCATTTGGTAGTAAATGAAGGATATCAGATGTGCTGTGTTTGTTATAAACTGAGGGTTTTGTGTGAAGCAAGCCTCAGATTCTTTATTAGGAAAGAGGCTAAGACAGGTGGCCTGAGTAGTTAATGATCCGGGCAGTAGAGCCACATTCAGTTGAGGAGAGTCCCCGAGAACTGCCCAGAAACATTTTCCAGAACCATCCGGCTTCCTTTGTTTCCATCAACCTGGGTAGTGATGTCTTTGCTTCTAGAGCACAAGAAGACCCAAAACTAAGTACTATGATGGGCATAGGTGATGTTTGGGAACAAAACCAATAAAAAAATGTACTTTTATTTTGGTATATTATTAAGAAATCAAATTACTAAGATGGATTTGAGAATATTTTGTTACCATCTAGCTTTGTTTGTGTTTTTTTTTATAACGGCAGTGTTTTTTGTTTTTGTTTTTTTTTTTTTTTCACTTTCATGTAACAGAGTAAATGGGCAGTTGGTTGCTGGCTTTTTTTGAGGGGGAGTGGAGATGGTTTTTTGGTTGACAGTAAATCATAGCAAACACACTGTGTTTCATACCACCAAATGTTCCAAATGAAATCTTGCTTCTGTATGTTTTATGTTTTTTAAAAACTGTATGACAGAGCAATGCTGTTTATAGTCTCCTTCCTTGCACTGCCCCAGCCCTCTGCCCAGAGCAGCTCCTTGCAGCCTTGCCTGGTTCTCCATGACCCTAACTGTATCTAGTCTTCTTCTCTTGTTTTAGTCACTGCAGCCAGAACCCAGCCATCTAGAAACCTCATCTGTCAGGAATCATTCTCCACCTTTTACTTTCTCTGAAACAGGTAGATCCTAAGAAGAAAGTTAAGTTTGGAGAGTTAGGCAGAAGCAGAATTTGGTTGAGTCCTGATGGTTGGGTTTGCTAGAAGGGACCGAATGCAAGAAGGAAGCAAACTAATACACAATTAGAACGTTTCAAACAACTACTCATCAGCTATGAAATTGAATTCTCCATCTGTCTGTCCATCCATCTGTACATGCATGCATGCATCCATCCATTCAACAGGTATTTGCCAGCTGCTCTGTCAAACTTTGGAGGTGGATATAATGGTAAGAAGACAGGCCTGGGCCTTCCCCAAGGAGTGTACTTTCTGGCATGACCTACCAAATTGCAGAATGGGAGTGAGTGCTATGAGAGAGAGGAGAATGCTGACCCAGCCCCAGCAGGGAGGGTGTTCCTGGAGGACCAGGAGTGGGGAAGCTGAGCTCTGAGAACTGAGGAACAGTTGGGTGGGCTGAGGGAATAGCATGCACAAAGGCCCAGAGGAGGACGGAGTGTGGAACCATCTATGACAGTGATTCCACACCTCTTTCTCTTGGCAGGACTTGCTTTGAGAATTTCAGAGAAGCTATGGACCCTCTTCTGGAGTAAGAGCACACACTGAGGCACATGCTCCCAAAGCTTTACATCTGATTTCTAGAGGCACCTAGACTCCCTGAGGTGTAACCATTCCGATGGCCTGTAAGCCCCAGCATTTTTCACATGCTAGGCCCAGCCTAGCTTACATTGTGTTTGTAATCACACCTTTCTCTGGGGTTCTTTACATCAGCTAGGAATTCACATCTCATCCCTTCAGTAAAAGCTGTTTTTTCAGGAGCTGCGTGTAAGTGTTTAAATGAGCTAACTACTTAGAGCAAAAAAAAAAAAAAAAAAAAATTTTTTTTTCCCACAAGTCAATGCACATTTTTACTTAAAAAACAAAAATTTTCAGGGTTACTGCAGAAACACGTGGGCTTCGTTTTCTATGCTGCTTATTGCCATGAGATACAAAGTGAGATTCTTAAATTCTGGAGGAGTCTTGAGTGGAGTTCTTGGTCCATAGGTGCCCTGCATTTGTTTGAATGATGTTTTTTGATCCAGCTTTTCAAGATCTACTTGATCTTTTTTAAAATGAGTTTTTCTCTTTGAAGCAGTGCAACTCTGCAATGAAGACTGAGGTTCTAATCCTCGTGAGGCATGCACCTGATGGCATCTTTTCTTGGTCAGTGCCATGTAGCAGTTGTGAAACCACATTTGACATTACTTGATTTTAACCTTGAAATATTCGTAAACCTTTCAACCTCCATTTGTTGGGTTATTGCCAGACTTTGTGGGTGTGAGATGGAAATGGGGTGTGGTTTGACTGGGTAACTACTGAGCTTGAACCTGTCCTTTTCATATGGTGACTATTCCTTACCCCTACAGCCACTTCCCCTCGGGTGTCCTCTGAACTGGAGCAGGCCCGCCCCCAAACTAGCGGAGAAGAGGAGCTACAGCTGCAGCTGGCGCTTGCCATGAGCAGAGAAGTAGCTGAGCAGGTCGGTGCCCAGGCAGGGGTTCTTGTTACCTACTGCCCCCAGTCAGGGGGGGTCTTGTGTAAAGTTATATTTAGAAAAGGTTTTCAGGGAAGTCATTGCTAAGGTGCAAACCAGTCAAAAGTGCTTCTCAGAAATTTTGCAGACATAGCCAAGCCTTGAGGGCTCTCTTTGAATGAGCTGAGTATTCATAACCTCCTTCATGCACTGTGTGTGGGCACACAGTCGGACTGGGAAGCTTGGTAAGATGAATCAACAGCATCTGAGCACCGAGAAAAAAAAAAGGCCAGAAGGAAATTGCTCCAGGAAATAAGAGTGCTTATATTTAGATGACGGAAATGTGTATAGTTTTAATTTTTTTTCAGTTCCCATTTTTCTTTAATAAGCACGAATTTCTTAAAAATGGAGAAGGAAGGAAAGGAGTGATTGACATGACCTTTCAAAGTTGTCAGCCTTTTGGTTGCAGTTATCAAATCTGTCTTTGTTGGCCTTTGGTTAAAAAGGGTAGATGGGGTCAGATGTAGCATAGGGCCTCCTCTCACTTAGAAGTGGTGTCCAGAGACAAATATTAGAGATAGTTAGGTGGAAATACAGATGGATGATTCTAGTCCATTTTAGTTAATAGCTCATATCTAGGATTTGTTTTATTTATAATAAGTATAATTAATATACTTATTTAAGTTAATCATTATATAAGCTAGGACAACCCAGTCTTTTGCATATGGTGGCTTTGCCATAAATATAAATTAAATATAAAGAATCATTTCTGTTAGAAATCATAGAAATAAATATATAGTCATTTTCTGGAAGCATATACAGTGAAGGGTGAGATGATGTGATTTTCAGCCACTTTCTAATTCCTGTCTGGGTTGTCAGATTTTTTAGTTTTATAAGGAGACATATCGCTTCTATAATTGGAATTATAAAGCCATTTTCATTTTGAGAAAAAACATTTTAGAATAAGTATTCTCTTTCCTCAATTTGGTGGTGCCTGTGCCCCAGTCTCCCTGGTGGGACCCCAAAGCAGGTGGAAGCCACACAAGGTGGGTGGGGCAGGGAGTTACAACTGCGTCTTATAAATTGTTTCTGAATCCTCCTTTGAAATAACACATAATACAATCTTGAATTTCCTGCTTCTGGCCAGGATTGTTTTGTTCTGTATAGTGATGTCATTACATTTACCACCAGTTTCAAGTTCCATTGTCCTCTACAGGAAGAGCGCCTCAGGCGGGGTGATGACCTCAGACTACAGATGGCCCTAGAAGAAAGCCGAAGAGACACAGTTAAAGTTCCAAAAAAGAAAGAGGTGAGTGCTTTTCTGGGAAGGTAAGTGTTTTGAGCTGTCCCGCAGTTGTTGCTAAAGTGTCCCAAACCCAGCCCTCAATGTACATGTGACATATGTGGAGCTCTCATACATGCTAGTTTCTTTATTCAACAAACAGCCCTAGGGCCTATGATGAGCAAGAGTGGGGTTAGGAAAGAATTGAAAACACATCTACCTCGGTCATTACTGGCCTCTCCTGAAACCACCCCAAGAGAAGATGGGCATGGGCGAGGGGCTTGGTAGCCTGGGTTCACGTTACCCCCACTAAATGTCAGCTAAATGTCAGGTGCTTTGGAACAATTTCCTGGCACAGGGTCAGCCCTCAGCAGTTCTGGTCTTCCTCACCATCATTATTACTCTGTGGCAAGCTTCCTGCTTAGGACCTCAAGGTGACCAGGACATAACTCTGTTCCTCACAAGCTAATTATCCAGTCAGAAGACAGGTCCCCCTCACACCACAGGGCCAGGGGCTGCAGTGGCCTCCCATGTTACAGTGCCCTGAGGTGTCCCTGATGGCAGACGTGGGAGCTGGAGGGTGAGGCAACCTCCAAGAGTAATGATGGCTGGCAGCTGGGAGAACAAGACACGGTGGGGAAGACAGTGTCCTGGAAGGAGGATGAAGCCCAGGACAAAGCCTTTGGTATTCTGGGAAACCCCTGAGGACTGCTTGAAAGAGTACAGGGGGTTGGCACATACTAAATAGCTAGTTTCAATGGGGTGGACTGGCATGGACAGGGGTAGGAGTTGGAGAGGCTTAATTTCCAAGGTCCTTTTGGCACCTCCTGGAGGGCCCCTACTCTAGTAAGGGGCATGGACAATATTTATGGCCATTACTGTAGCAAAGTAAAACTTATTCCCTTCTCTTTGTCTCAAAAGCCTGGTGCCCACCCACAGCAGACTACTCTGTTGGATTTAATGGATGCCCTCCCCAGCTCAGGCCCTGTTGCCCAGAAAGCAGAGCCCTGGGGCCCGTCAGCTTCAGCTAACCAGACCAACCCTTGGGGTGGGCAGACAGCTCCAGCCAGCACTTCGGACCACTGGCCATCATTCGGTAAAGATCCCCCCTCATTTGTCTCTCATGCTTGCTTGCTGAATGGGTGAAGGGCAACAAGCCAGAGCTTCTTGCTCTCTCTCACCTGGCATAGGTGGGAGTGAATCTGGTCAATGGTGGTGGGTTGTCCAGGCTTCTTTAGTACCCGACTAACATCTAGCAGGCTGCTGCTCTCCTCCCGAGGACCATGGTACAGTGCTCTCTTTCATTCTTTTTTGAATGGTTTTCTGCTTTGGTAGAGGGAAAGCTGACTTCCTCTCTGCCTACCACGCACCTCAGAAATGGCTTATCTCTCTTCTGGGACACATGTCAACTCTCTCAGCCTCCGAATTGTACCCAGCACCCAGGTTAAGAAACTGTAATGCACAGCATCAAACATGTAAGTCAAGTTGCTATAATTAGCTGGAAATTATGATATACTTAACATGATTGCTAAAGAAAAGGGGATACATTTGCTGTAATTCTTACTTGTTATTTAAAGCAATAGCAAATCAGTTTACTAGGCTAAATGAATATTTTAAAGTTCTGTTTAATGCCAAATGTAAGAGAATTTGTGATAAGAGATTTGAAACATAAATGCAGCATGATCGGTGTAGTCTGGGTGGAGATATTCGGCACATGGATTTTGGATCACTGGATGTAAGGCTTGGCCTGCGGGCTTCATAATGGCTTCCTGCCCAGCCTGCACTCTGGGAGGCCCCTCTGGGTGCTCTGAATCCTGCTGGTTATGGATGGTCTGTGGGTTTTCTGTCTGGGAACTCTGAATTGTATATTTTGTGGCAGTTTGCTTATACCTCTTGGGGTGTCTGTTTCCCAAACTGGAACCATCTTTTGCATTTAGCTCAGTTCCCTTGATACTTGCCGAAGTATACCAAATGCCAGTCTATGTCCTGGCATGCAGGGACCCAGACACGAACAGCTAATGGTCCTGCCCTCAAGGTCCTGGGCTGGTGTGGGCAAGATGGGAACAGCAGCATAGTAGTCTGTGCGGGTTGGGCCTTGGTGGCAATTCTTTGAGAGCATCTTTGGGCAGGGCTTAGCTCAGGAGTTCAATGGGCATGAGGTAGG